TATTTCATTTTCTTCTTATTAGTTAATGCCTTCAACTCATTTGCCTTATGTCTTTGATGCACTGCTTGCTACAAAAGGGAATGCCATGGGGTACAGTTACTGTAGATATGTATGTACTATTTATTTGCACTATTGATTTGCACCAGGAAAATGTTGAGATTCATTTTTTTTTCATTCAGAATTTTGATAGGAAGAGGTTATCCATTCAACTGGCACTACTATAGCACTTATGACATATAGTACAACATAACACTTGATTAGAGAAGACTTTTATGAAGATGCCATGAAATTGCATGGGGCAACCCACCCTTTTGCCAACCAGAGATTCTAGATCAGTGGTGGGCTTCTATTATTTTTACTCCTGGTTTGCTTGTGGACCGGCATGCGCTTCTGCGCATGTGCAGAAGCATCTAGGCAGGTGGGTGAACGCTACTACCAGTTTGCCCGATCTGGGCCGAACCAGCAGCAACCCACCTCTATTCTAGATGTTTATAAATTACCGTAGGAAGATTGGCCTGCACAGGAATGGGCATAGAAATCCTTCATGCAATCACTAGCCAGAGATTTAACAAGATAGGAGACAAGGTTAATCAAGAGAACCATGATCCTCTCTTTTAATCATCTCTTTTTTGCTATTTTTTGAAATCTATTTATTTTTTCCAAACAAGCAAAGCTCCCTCTTTATACAAGCATAAAGGAAATCACAAATAATTTACTTGCAGGTTCATGATAAATCTAGTTCTCCCTCACCAGCTCCTAAAGGAAACAGGAAGGTGTTTTTTTTTTTTTAAAAAAAAACTAGATTCAGGAACAGTGACTTGGTGTTTTTTTCTGTTTTAGAAAGAAATATAGCAAGTAGAAAGAAAGGTGGGTGCTTTCAGTACGGAGATCCTGTTTTATTAAGATGCACAATTAATCTCATCCTCATTAATAAATGCAGAAATCACAGATGCTTCGGCTAGTTGCATACCTTGCTTTAATTGAGCATTCCTGAGAACTGCTCTGTTTTCTGCGTATCTAATGTCAAAAGATTCCCAATACAGCATCTGTGATTTTTAATTGCTGGTGTTTAAATTGCTTTCTACCCAACAATATTTGATCATTTCTAATTCTGAATCTTCTGCAACAAAAGCAGCCTGCAGATGTTCCTAAGATAGGGCCTTTTTACTAGATAATTCTGTGAGCCAAAGCCAACATGACCATTGACAAGCTGTAATAGGAGCTAAAGCACAAACCATCCAGGGAACATCAGACTAGGAGACAATTCTTGTGATAGCCTCATTCTGCGAAGAATATAAGGCATAAATGACTAGTCAAGGTCATTCAGCAAAGGAACCACAAGGTCAATTTGAAAAAACAAAAACAAGATTTTTGTGCAATATTTATGTTTAACTCACATTTCTTTAACTCTTTATTTTATTTCTTATTTTAGGTTTATCCGGCAGATATAAAACAGAACTATTTCCTAACAGTGAAAACAATTAACCAGTGGAATGGCTTGCCTTCAGAGATTGTGGGAGAATTTTAAAAAGAGACTGGACAGCCATTTGTCTGGAATGGTAGAGGGTCTTTGCTTGAGCAGGGGGGTGGTGGACTAGAAGACCTCCAAGGGCACTTCCAATTTTGTTATTCTGTTATTATTCTATATCTAGCGTATTGAGTATACTAGTAATATTAGTAATACTAATAAATAGTACATAATATAAACATAAATGCAGAATACAATTATAAATTGTCTAGTTACCCCAAAGCAAGATTCTTCATAATTATTTCATGTTTAAGTCTGTTAGGCTCCAAGCTTAAACTATAAGAGTCAGGGTCTTAAGAATACTAATCTCGATATATTACTGTGCTGGAAATAACATAATCCTACTTTTGATTTATATCATTTCCAGGCTGTTTCCAGCTTGCCAGGCAAGCTATTTGTAAACATAAAACATGAACATGTGACCTGACTGGCTCTGATCCTTAATTTTAAATCCAATAATTTCAGTAACTTTTCGATAAAGAATTATTTCTCTGTGTTCCATGTAATCTCGGATCAGTTACAAAGCCCATATTTTACAAAGCTCTGCAAATTTGGTAGAATGTATTGGTCTTTAGTTAGCTTACAAGAATTATTTGCAAGTCCATGTGGTTAACATTTACACATTATCTTAAACCCACTAGAGCGAAAAGAGTGTTGAAGATGTCTTCTCTGGTGCAAAGAGCAGTGATGAAATACATTTTTATGCAAAAGATTCATACGTGGAAGGCACAAAACTATTAGCTTCAACTCAGAAAAAAAAGCTATTTTCCAAAGCAGTTAAACCTCTTGGACCTTTTTTTTCCAAAGAGGTAATACCAGAATATGATTTGATGATTTAGCACCAGTAGCTTCTTCTTTAGTTCATCATTGCCAAAGAAATGTAGTTCAGCAGCATGAATTATAACCTTGAACAACTATCTGTAGACCCAGAAATCACCTTGTAACATACAATCCACTTTCAAACTTATCGTGTACCATTATAAAACTTTACTCTAATTCATGCACAGTGGTGGGTTGGTGCTGGTTTGGCCCAGTTCAGTCGAACTGGTACTGGAATTCAGGCCTGGGTCGCAGAACTGGCAGCGACCCAGGCCTGCCATACCCTCGAACCAGTTCCCTTGCTGCCACTTGGCCATCATTATTTTGGATTTTAGTGACTGTGCATGCATAGTTCATTGTAAATTGTTCTGCGCATGAGCACAGAACAATTTACATTGAATTGTGCACAGACGCACAGCACGCACACATTGAGCATGGATTGTGAACCAGCAGTAAGACCAGCAGCAACCCACCCCTGTTCATGCATCATCTCTACCCCAAAGTGTGATGACAGTGTTGATTTGACCAACTTTTGATAATGTTGCAAATCAGTTCTCAGGCTCTAGCAGCCATCTCAAATGTATCAGTGAGGGAACAGTAGTAGTAGAAAAACAATGGTCACACAGATATTTCAAGCTGCCCTTGGACCTGAAACTTTACCACTTAAGTATACTGACAAGAATTCACTGAGAATCTTTTAGAGAGTTATTGTAATATTTTTAATACACGTGTACACACACAAACAAACACGTCAGTCTTTTCCAAATGATATTGTCTAATCAAGAAAGCTAAGCAGGGATAATGTTTGGATGGGAATCTACCTGGAAAATCCAGGGATGTAGTCTAGTCTGGGAAGTTTAAAAAAAAAAAAAACCTAGAAGGCGGCAGTGGTGAATCCTATTTGTATTGCTGCCAAGAAAAGAATATGGACATATGGATGTAGCCAATAGGAGCTGAGTTTGATTTGAAGATGGCTTTACTTTACTCTCACTAGTACCCCCTTTCTACACTGTGGGCACGTTCATAATCTTTTTAAAAGGGAGAGGACACATTTTTTGAGGATCAATTTGGTGTAGTGGCTAAGGCATTGGGCTAGAAACCAAGAGACCGTGAGTTATAGTCCTGCCTTATGTACAAAGCCAGCTGGATGGCCTTTGGCCTGTCAATTTCTCTCAGCCGCAGGAAGCAAGCAACGGCAATCCACTTCTGAAAAACCTTGCCAAGCAAATTACAGGGTCCAAGCAGTCTCCGAGATCTGAATCCCGTCGATTGATAGAACAGAAAATAAAAAAGTAATACTTTTTTACAAACACAAAATAAAATTAATACTGGCTTCTGCAGAAATGTTATCTTTTGGAGAAATTTCTTTCAATCTATAGCTTCTCTCCCTCCCTCCCTCCCTCCCTCCCTCCCTCTCTTTCTCTCTCCCTCCCTCTCTCTAAAATGTTCATCCACATTTCACATTATCCTGCCCAGGATTCCCTTCTAGTTATTACAACAGGACCGCTGTTTCCTCTTTATAGCAAGACTCAGGTCATTCCTTATCCTCCACTGAGGAAGGGCAGACGATATAGTAAGGTCATTGGATCCAAACTCATATCAGTAAAATAAATTTATTTTCTCTCCTAAATCTAGAAAGCTGCCTCACAGAAATAAATCATATTGGAATTGTCTGCCTGTCTGAAGACAGCCTCCAAATAATTATAAATTATTATAAAAGAAAGAACTGCAATAAGGACTTTGGGAATCACAATGCCCCTGTGCTATTATCGGAAGGCTCCTAAGATTCCCATTTAGCTTTCTCTAAGCAGGGCACTTTTCTCTGAGTGATCTCTCTCTCTCTCCCTCTCTCTCCCACTACTTCCCCTCTTTCCAGGAATTCCCGGGAAAATGGCTGCTTGGTTTGCTTGAGGGTCAACATTTGTAATACCAGCAGGGTACCAAGTCTCCTTTTTTTCCATATGTTACAGCCATCCAACTGCTATAAATACTCGCAAAACATCCCCTCATCTCTTTTGGAAATAAATCCCTGGCTTTGAAAAATACAATTATGAAAGAAACTTGCTTCTTGGTTTGGTCCCGTTTCTTCTTCTTCCTCCCCCTCCCCAAGTTCTACCGCTTTCTATCTTTATATTTCCGCTTTGATCTCCACCCTCGGTTTCCAAAGCTTCAGTTTTACTGAAGCCCTGAAAGGAAAGCCTGCTGGTCTTTCACTCCAGATAATACCTCGCCTGGAGACAAATCTGTATCTCCTCCGAGGCAAGCCTCTACTGTCTTCCGGCTCCATCACTTTTGGAGACCAGCAACACCTCCACCTCCGAGCCTCGCCGGGATCTGCGCTTTTGTGCTATCGCCGGCTTCCGCAGCGCGGGCCGCCCTCTGCCGCCTCCTGCAAACTTTCGCCGCAGAGCCTGCCGCACACGCGGGGACGCCGAGCCAAGGCCGGTCCCTTTTCTGCCTTCCTAGCGGGAGAGTCGCGCCCCCCATTAAGCCACGCCGTTTAGTTAATCGCCTCGCTCGCAGGAGTTTCCCCAGCAGGTTGGCAGGAGGCGGGCAGCGAGAGGCGCACTGGCGGGGGTGGTGGTGGTGGGATTCCCTACTTCCCGCGGGGTCGCCATCCCGAGCCACGCCACGCGCTGCTGCAGTCTCTTACCGAGCGAGCGGGAACGGTCGGGCACTGCCTCTTTTCCTCACCGCCAGCCGGGCCGCTGCACAACTTGGGCTCCTCGCAAATCTCCCATCCAGCCGAAAGACGCGGCGGGCTCTCTCCTTCCCTCCTTCTTCCCTCCCTCTGCGGTAGTGCGGACACACCGCGCGCTCCGCCCGCCTCTCCCTCCCTCACCCGCTCGCTTTTGGTTTGACATGTTCCTCACATCCACCGCGTGTAACAGCCCGCCCCGCCCAAGGTCCGGCGGGAGAGCCCTTGTTTTTTTTAAAAAAAAATACCCTAAAGGCTTGTAAGTCCTCGACTTATGACCACCTGCACTCAGCTCGCCTCCCTGCTTGGGGTAAAAGCAAAGCTCTGTATGTGTTATGGGACAGCTGGCGGCAGGCCAAGACATTTTGCAGCCTGGATTGTACGGGACGCTGGTCAATTTATTTTGGCATGGGCGGAGATATGGGAGAAGTCTCTCAAGCATTTCTCCTGAGGAAAATAAAATAAATCTATTTTCCAATAAATAAATAATTGTAAGCGATAAGGTGAGGTAAGTGAGGCACTTTCAGGGCATTGGAAAGCTGCCTCCTTGTCCTATTGAGTAGTTTTCTATCTCCCAACTGGGGGAAAAAACCTATGGAGATTCAGAGAATGTAAAGTTGTTGCTGCAGCTGCAGTGTGAAATCCGCTGCCTGGAACGGGTTCATGCTCTGGTGGATGAACACATCTTCAATGCATCCCTCTTTCCATGAAAATAACTACATTTTCCTCCAAATATCTGAGATTAAGAGTCTGTCTGACTGTAGGATTTATTAGTAATGCAGTTACTATTAGAAATGCAATTATTCAATTATGCCACTGCAGATTGAGTATCGTTTAACTTGGGATGGGGAATAAATGTGTTGTTCAGTCTTAGCTGTTTTTACATATCACATCACAAGCACTATGCTAGAAATGGGCTTTTTGGCAGTTCAGATGTCAATTGCAGCTTTAAGTGTCCCCATTAGTTTAAATCACAATCAAGTGAGAGTGATGAGGAAGATAGATTGCAGCTCCTATCATTCTTGGCCAAACTACTGTAGCCAGAATTGATTGAAGTGAGAGTTCAGAATATTTGGAAGGCCAGATACTGTCCATATCTGACTAAACATAAACTCAGTTCATGCCATTTTAATTTTTTGCTTTGTAAATTGCAACCAGATTCCAATAGATTTGTGGCCTTGCTTGTCAATATCAAGTACTTAAACTGGCACGTTGTTGCCTCAGGGATAATGTGTATAAAATCAACAGGCTATCAGGGGAAAAAAATGAAATGAAATTATTTACATATAAAGTACAATGCAGACTTCTGCTCGAAATAGATTCCATTGTTATTGCCTGTATTTTAAAAAAACTGTATTTATATACAGGTAGTCCTCGACTTATGGAGCACAAGTGAGCCCAAAATTTATGCTGCTAAGCAAGAAAGTTGTTACATGAATTTTTCCCCCTTTCTTGCCACAATTGTTAAGTGAATCACTGCAGTTGTTAAGATAGTAACATGATTGTTAAGTGAATCTGGTTTTTCCATTGACTTTGCTTGTCAGAAGGACACAAAATATGACACTGCAAACGTCATAAATGTGAGTCAGTTGCCAAGTATCTGAATTTTGATCATGCGACCATGGGGATGCTGCAATGGTTGTAAGTAGGAAAAGCAGTCATGAGTCACTTTTTTCAGTGCTGTTGTAACTTTGAATGGTTACTAAACGAATTGTTGTAAACTGAGGACTATCTGTAATCCCTTTATTTTTATAAATAATTCAAGGCTGGGAATGTACCCAATACTCCTTCCTCTGTTATTTTCCCACAACAGCAGCCTGGTGAGGTGGGCTAGATTGAGAGAAAGTTACTGGCCTCCCAGGCAACTTTCATGCCTAAAGTGGGACTAGAACTCACAGTCTCCTGGTTTATAATCTGGTTCTTAATCTTAACTACTAAACAAAACTGGCTCTATTGAATTTAAGTGTTGAATAAATGTAGAAAAGGAATTTGGATGTTGGGATGCAATTCCACATTAGTTTCAACAGAATGGCTCTTCTGCACACATCTATACCCCAAAGTGTGGAAATAAGTTGCTAAACAAAATAAATATGTTTTCCATGATTTTTAGTATATATACATGGGAGTTAAATACTATTTCTTTCTTTTTAAGTACTTTGGCAATCTTATGTTCTGAGGTTTTACACATGCCCTTGACAGTGCATTCAGTCAAACTTAATGGATCTCTTCTGAGTTAACCTAGAATATTTTTCCCTTGAGTTTGCTGATTCTTTGTGATTGTAGCCAAGAATTATTACTAAAGGACAAAGCAGCGATAATTCCTGTCAATTTTGGAAGAATATTGAAGAATATTCTGAAAACTCAAGCCCTATTCAAGCCCTAAATAGATTAGAAACTTTTAGAGACTGAAAGTAAACAAAATTTCTGTAATTGAAACAACAGTTCATCAAAATAAAACACAAAATTGCAAGCCTAAAATTAAATGCCTAAATTATTACAAATCTCTTTAAAACAGTATTTTGATTGTAGCTGTTCAAAGGTAGCAAATATTTCTCTTCATTAGGAAAATGTTACAAAAGAAACAGGTATAAGGAGGGGAGAAAAAAGGAAAAAGACTGTCTTAAGTCCTGACATTCAAATTGGACCGGAAAGTTGGCTGAATCCAGAATTCCCCATAGGAATGAGGAATAAACAAGTATCATTTCTTTATTTCTGAAGTCCAGCACTGTTGTTCAGATAAATCATTGGAGAATGATGCAATCCATCGGAATACAGTACCATAGTCATTTTCTGCAATTTTGAATCCCAAAGCAAAGGGATAAGTGTATATAAATGGTAGCTTGAAATACATCATTCTTAGATGAGAGACTATAATTATCATGCAGCTCCCCAGCAGGACATGCTGACTCATTTCTTTCAAATTGTCCTCTGGGTGATTAGATTGCTAATACACAACTAAACTGACTAGTTAATGGGAGCTATATGAGTAGGTAGGCTGAAATATCCCAGAATCTGTATCTGGGAGACATGACTGCCTTTTGAAAATGTAACAGTGCATTCCTATCCTTCACATGCAGAGAAATTTATTTTAATGGATTTCTGAAGCTAATTGACAAGGAGAAATATAGCCAACCCAATAGGGAGGTTGAACAGGCTATCAAACAACCTTATTTGACTTGTAGAGTTGCAGCAGGAAAGGCCATTCTAAATTGCCATTGATTCAATAAGATCAGATAACTTAATTGATTGTAGCCAAGGTCTTTCATCTCTAAGGCACAGATTTGTTGCCACATATTAACTTTTGTTTGAATCTACCACATATTTAACAAGAACAAAATTTCAGCAATACATTTTTGTAATTCATGTGGAGTGGATTTGAAGTTACTTCCTCAGTAATTTCTGAAATACAAAAATCTCTTGCATCTTTTATAAGTCTATTTTTTCAGTGATATCATAACTTTGAAGGTTGCTGAACAAGTGGATATAACCTAAGGACTACCTGCATTTCGGATAAAGCAGGCATTAGAATTACCCAGTAATTACTTCATTGCTCATGCTACCCAATTTGATTAACTCCACCAATGTCATTTCTAGCTTCCTGAAGTAGCATAATAAGAAAATGGGAGCCTTTTTCAAATTAGTAGTTAAGCAGGGAGCCCAAAAATATAGTACAGAGGTAACAGTTATTGTTAAGAACTCCCTATAAAGCTACTTCTTAATTTTAAATTCCATTTTATTTTATTTTTATTCATTTTAATCTTCTGCTGAAGACCTGTACTTTTACTATTTTTACTGTAGACTGATATTTTTATTATTTCTGCCATGGGAAAAAGGAATACTAGGCAAGGTTCATATCCTGTTTCTCAGACTTCACTCAAGCCTATTAAACAGCTCAAAGTTGATAGGGACCTAAAAATAAATATCTACTTGTCATAAATAATCAACCCTCTCTTATTTTTCCTTATAACCTCTAAAATAGATACAATTCCCTAGAATTGGGATCTATAAGTGAAGATACAAATTTTTAGATCTCTCTGCCCGATGCCCGACGGAGCTTCCCCTTCTCAAATTGCAGCCATTTGAACAGCTGCTGCAATGCTTATGCAACAAGGGGATGAGAATTTTTTTTAAAAAAGAAATATTACTGACTTTATAATCAGACAGTGCCTACTGATAAGCCAAACAATATTGTCAATTTTTGAGCTTCGGCCCACAGACTTATTCAGCTTAACTAATCATCCAAATACTGCTGCTGAATCAATTAAAACAAGTGCATGTAGAGTCAACTGAGACTTAAAAGCAGATTATAGTGGTAGAAAGATGAGTCCTAATTTGGAACCTAAAAGAGAGTGAGGAATAAACTAAGAGATCTAAGCCTACATCCAGAGGAGCATGGGAAGCAAGTCCCACTCTCCCCTGAAAAATTAGATGAAAGGCGAGCAAATTGTAACTGTTACTTACAGCCAAATCTAAATACTGTACACATCCAAAATAAGAGAGTAAAGAGAGGAAAAATAGGGATCCAGAAGTGTAGCCATTTCCTCAACCTTTAGTCTACACTGAAAGGTGGCTTATTGATTTGTAGAATATTGAATGATTGCCATCCAGGAGAGAGACTAAATGAATCCTTCTATCATTTAAACATCCCACTATTGCTATCCTGTTGTTCAGAATGAAGTCTTTTTTAAGCAAGTTTGATATGTTCACATTGCATCTATTTCACACAGAGGGAGTTAGTCCATTAATAAGTCATCTTGGCATTTCTTTTACTTTAAAGCTTAATTGTAGCAACATAAAAGTAGGTAATTCCAAGGACGTTCTACCACCATCGTCCTTGAGAAGAGACAGCTTCAATAAATAATCTGTACCTCCCACAGCAAATCAATTTTCTGAAGAACTGTTAAAGACAAACTTGATTAACTCTTTCAGGACTTCGCCAGATACTGGACAAGTGTATATTAGAAAAGGGCTAGACAATCTTAGGGAATTATTAGCAACAACATGTAAAGCTATTAACCTCTAATAGAGCTGATCACCTCCATTGTCCAAGAAAATACTGCCTACTTTG